ACTGACCTAGCAGCTGATAGTGAGAAAATGTTTCTTTTGACGGAGTTCATATATGATCTGGACAAGAGCAATGCACAGACTTTCGATGTTTTACAGTCTGCAGGCTCTAATGTTGTCGACACAATCAGGTTTGATTTCACATCAAACCATGGGCAGCCACACACATGCATATATAGGTTGAGGGTACATGGCCGTGAACCAAACTCCTTGGTAATGCAGTCTTGATGGTAAAATGATTTAAATTATTTTGACATTCCTCTCCTTAACAATGTAGTGCTATTGTGTCTTTCTGGTAGAACCCAATCCTACATGTGAGTTATAATCTTTTGGCTAAGTGTGTGGATTTGAGATCCTTGCCCTCTGTGATTAACCAGTACCGAGTTGGGGCTAGGTGTAAAAATGTCTTGTTCGTTTCAGCTGCTGAACTGCTGTAAAATTGATGATATTATTCCCTTCTATGAGATGTAAAGATGATGACTGTCCTGTAAAACTCCAGTTTATTATTTGGTTTTTTCCACATTCTTTGTTTTGTAGAGATGCAAATCTATGCTTTATAAAGCATTACAACATTCCATTTCGTATTCTTTTTTGGTGGTGGGATTAGGGTTGAACGGTTGGATAACTCCGACCTGCTAGCAATAGAAACATGAATATAAATATAACAATCATCTCAAATTTGTTTAGAGCAACAAAGGTTGTAGAGGAGAACTCTACCAAGTATAAAAATCATCTTTTCTTTATAGAATTGTGAACTCAAAATCTTGAATCTCACAGACATCAACCTTTTGGTTTCTTAGAACTAAAGAACTGTGTTTAGATGGATAGGCTAATTTTAGTCCATTAAATTTAGGCTGAATACATAAAACTGCCTTTTAATTTGTATAATTCTTCAACTAAAGGTCATATAGAAACTGAACTCAAGGGTTTAATACATTGATAGTCTCTCAAACTTGCCCTATTTTTTCATTTAAACAGTTGTAAGGTATCAAAACCGACATTGAGGAGGGTTACTATATTAAATACTACTCCCTCTGCCATAATTTTTTCATATATTTTAAATCGTCAATTATTTTTAAGTACTTTTTATATGTTTCATGCACGAAATTTGAACGATGACATATAAATTGTAGCAACTAGAACAGAGCCTATATAAGGGTAGCTGAGCACCTTTCAGATTGTGGGGAAGGAAAAGAAAGCTAAAAATGGTACGTAGCATAGCAAGCTTGACATATGAAAGGTCAAAAGCTGATCTGATTTCACTATTTGGGTGTACAATCAAATGTCCAAATATTTAACGTTGTACCTTATTAATTTATGTCAGTTATTTAATGGATAAAACTGAAAGATATTAACACACAAACACGACATTTTCAAAGAACCTAGCAAGGAACGCCTCCCTATTTTTATGAAAAGATTTGAATTCTATAGCCTGTTATACCAAATTCCAGAGATGTTAAAAATGTTTATTTTAAATAATTAAGGTATTTGACAAAGTTTTTAAGAAAAAATTAGCAAGTGTTTTTTGAAAAGAATCATTGCTGAAACTTTAGTCAAACACATATTGTTGATATAATATTAACTCAGCTGCTTTTCAAATTATTTAATCAAACACATACTCTACTACTCTTCAAATATACTTTAACATGAAGTCCACAAAAACATGAATAAAGGTATATGTATCCCTTGGAATTATAATCGAGGTGCACAAAAACTGGCTAAATAAGAAGAAGAAGAAGTAGGTAGCTAATACTTATATATGACATGGTCTCTTCCTTGATTTTTTTGTATAGTCATAGGCACTGATTTCTTGCAGCCATTTGTAGTGAATACTTTGACAGTAAATGAAGAGTCCCCTTCATCTTCATCATCATATATGAATATCAAGAAATACCCATTCTTCAGAGACTGATATTTTATGAAATCTTCCCATCCTTTTCCAATGAAAATAACAACTCCATCTTCACTCTTTTCAACACATACATCCCAAACATTCCCACACAATTCCTTAATTTTGCTTCTTTCTTTCATATTCTCCCCATATTTTCTACTAAAGTCCTTTGGCAAAACCTGTATACAAACAGACTAGTGTTACTTTTTCAAAATAATTATTAAGTAGATCTAAACGCATAGTTTTAAAAAAGTATAATGATCTAGGGTGTGAAAATAAGCAAAAATAACTTTCTAAGAAAATATAAATTTACAAATAATGACATTTCACATTTATGTGACCCTTCACACTCCAATCAGGCAGGGGCGTAGCTACATTAATTCAGGCTGGTCAATCGAACAACCTTCATCCAAAAATTGTATATATAGGTCAGAAACAACTTTTTAGAAATAACTACTACTAAAATTTTGAACACGCTGCAAAATTTCTAATTTCGCCACTGCTTCAACCTGCCTCATCTCCACCTCCACCTCCACTTCCTATAGCCCCATACTCACACCCCGTAATATTTATCTATATTATATATAAATCATTTTCAGATAAAAGAGTAATATTTATTGCATATATATCGAACAGAAACAAATAAGAAAAAAAAACTTCACTTATTTTTCCATTTTCCTTTGTATCGAATACACCTTCAAAGAATTTAGTGGTAATCTTAAATGTGAGATTTGTATAAGAAAAAGTGTAAATGTTAAGAGTGATGAGAGATAGAATGTACAAGTTGTTGAGAGCTCCGATCAGAAAGGAAGAGCTTGAAGAACTCCGGCCGCCGCCGGCTGACCGGTGAGGAAGTTCCGGCGACGGTGACTTTTCCTTTTTCTTCAGAAATCAAAGGCTTAACATTCTTCCTTGGCCTTCCTCTTTTCCGTTTCTCCATTCTTCCTTTCTACTCAATACTATTAACTTCAATTACATATATATGTATAGAAAGGGTAGAGGGGCGGGCCCATTATCCACCGAGTTTAGAAGGCTGTGATTGGTTCAAAGGGCGGGTCACAAACGAATTTCTCGGTTATAAAAATAAAATAAAAAATACATGTCACTTCTCACCAACAACACGAACGAATTAGTACTTATTATAAATCAATTTGTTTATTAACGCTTAAGGGGTCGTTGTATATATAAGAATAATGTTAAATAAAATATATGGAGTAATAATGTTTGTATTAGTTATGCTTGTTTGATTTGATGTTTTAAAAAGAGTATGTTTTGCATTAAAAAAAAATTATTTACATAGATACTCTCCACTTTTATGGTGGAAATGATGTAAAAAAGGTTGTGATGGACAATTGGATCTTTTATCTATTATATTAATGCATGCATTAAAACCAATGCATTGTCATAGACTTATGGGTGTTTACGGGTCGGTTTGAATCGATTATTGGTCAAAATCAAAACCAAACCAACTTAATCGGTTTTAAAACTATCAAAACCAAACCAAACCAAAATATAATATACATTTTATCGGTTTGGTGGTTATTGATTTCGGTTGGTTTGGTTCGGTTATTCGGTTATTAACCATACACAAAAATAAAAGAAACAATTCATTCAAAATAGTGAAAAAAGTAGACAACAATCCATTCAAAACAAAAAATAAGTTAGAATGACTTAAAATTATCGAACTTTCGATCACTGAATTTACTATCAATAAAGCTTTAAAATTTCACTATATTGGCCTAGAAGGAAGAGACAATAACATTTTCAGTCTCACATAGAATTGTCATAGACACTCATATACATGAAATTAATAAGATAAATATTTTCACCTTGGGCATTCTTGCTTTCAATAACTAAAGTATAAAGAAATTTTAATGAAAACATATATAAGATCTTCAAAATTGTTTATAAAACAATATATTAAGTATGTATATTAATAAAATATATGTATATAATTTATTGGTTTGGTTCGGTTATTTCTTCGGTTTTTCGAATAAAACCATAACCAAACCAAATACTACTGGTTTTCAAAAATCTAAAATCAAACCAAACCAAACCCAAATAAAATCGGTTTTATTTTATCGGTTTGGATTGGTTTTTATCCAAACCGTGAACACCCAACAATCCACACCATACTACACAATAAAGTATATAACTAATATAATATATAAGGCTGATACTTACATTATTTTTTCTAATACACTGATCTACCAAATAAATATAAATTAAACTTTGTAAGAAAATATTAATGTGTGCAGGAGTGGGAAGGGGAAGAAAGCTTAAAATGGTAAGTTTGAAATGTGCAAAGTAAAAAGTTGAATAATTTGATTATTCAATAGTTCTAAACATATATCTGATTTCTCCATAGAGTCTGCACGTGTCTGTGTATGCTTTACACGATATGTCTGATTAGTTTTAATGAAACTGATTACACCATCGTACTCATTTTAAATTTCACGTTCCTTAAGAAATTAAATAAGTTTACTATTGTATTATTACCGGTGAACATGAATTAATCATCGGTGAAATTTATACTTTCAAGGTTAATAACTTTCAAAAGTAAAATAAAAAGAATATTAGTATTAATTTTATTAAATGATAAATATTAAAATCATCTAGTATTTTTTAGTAAGAACGACATATAAATAGGAATGGACGAGGGAGGATAAAATAACTCATTTGTGCGTATATTTTTTCAAGAAACACATTTGAATTATAAATAGTTATAATAAAAAATATGATCAACACAATTTGAATTTTGAGAATTTTAAATAAATAATTTATATTTTCATGATCAAAACAACTACTAATTCATCAATCTTAATAATTTAACATTTCGAAATTATATTTATCGACTAGAAGAAAGTGTCCTAATAACATTAATAATAATAATAATAATTTAACTTTTTTTGTTACTTTAATAAATTATTTATATAACCACTTAAAATAAGTTTTACTAAATCACAAGTTTCAAAAACATTTTCTTAATAATCATTTTTCTGCCAAAAGTCAATAATACCCCCACAACATCCACTTTGACAGGGACTAACTAGTAATTCTACTTATTGGCAAAGAAAAGGTAAAAAATAAAAATCTACTAGTTTGGGTTTAGCTAGGGTTTTATGTAACTTGTCTTCTTTCTCCTCCATTGTCACAAAGCCCTACCGCTGCTAAATCACTTGCTTTGTATAACGTGAATTCAAGATTTATTTCAAAATCATATATTTGGGGAATTTCTAAAAACCCTAAAATTTATAGTTCGCAATTTGCAGGATTCAGATTAAACTTGGAGTGTCCAGCATATTAGTAGATTATGGGTCGTTTCAAGAATGTAAGTAGTTCTGCTTTGTCTATTCTATGTTTACTTTGTTTTTTCCAGGATTGCAGTTTTCGATTTATCTAACTGGATTTTTGATTGTTCATTCACATTTTTCATTGATTTGGGTTTTCTTCTCCTGTAGTAACACTAGATTACTGTTTATGAGGATTTGACTGAAGAGACATGTGATGAGCAGTTTAGGATATGGTGCATTCAGTAAAAATATATTGAAAAAACTAGGTGTTAACAGAAAATTTCTGGATTTTTTTTTAGCAGCAACAATTATTTGTGACCCTTCTGCCCTGAAACAAAGATAGATGATTAGACTGAATGGAAGTTTTGAGGTACTTTTTGCTGTTGCTTATAATATCCGTAACGTGTTTATTCATAAAACAAGTAATGATGAGTAATAACTATGATTGAATTAAAGTTTTGGGTTAAAGATTTGGTTTTTAACCTTTTTTCGTATTAAAAAAGGGTTTAATCACCTGAGCTGAATTTTTGAATATTGTTGTGAGGAATGCCATTGTATGAATAGAAGATGTTACACTTTGTTTATCTGTTGTTGGTTTTATTGAAAGCAAAGGAAAACAAAGTTACTCATGTGTCACGGCCGTATCCTTTTGGGTTTTTTTTGAACGGAAACAAGAAATGATGATTAACTAAACGATGATTTTGTAGAAGATAGATATGTGTTCCATTTTTCTGATTTTTTGTAAGCTTTGTGACAATTATTGTGGTGGTGGTTGAGCTGAATTCTTGAATACTCATTTAATCAGAAAAACAGGAAGCCGTTTGTCAAGCAAATTGCGAAGAAGACGCCAACGGTTGACCATGTTACTGGGGACAAGATTCCAAAGAGCTTGGTGTTTTCAAGGGGGAAGATTCCTGGTCCTCTCAGACAGTTGCAAATGGACTTGCGAAAATTGATGCTTCCTTATACTGCTCTCAAGCTCAAGGTAAAGCCTTAACATAGTATGTTTATTCGTGCATTCGGGTGCTTATCTGATTTTTGCTTGACAGTCTTGACTTTTACTAATTGTTTTACTATCTAAAGTTGTTAATACCATTTGGACCTCTTGCTATGGATATTTATCAAGCTTCTTCTAAATTGGGACTTGATCCATAGGGCTAGCAGACTAACATTGTATGAATACACGAAGCCCGCTCTTGCAAAGAAACAGTACAAATCATCTAATATGTAATGAAGTACAGAACCCCATAAACTGAGAAAATTAACCCTATGAAAAGCTTCTACAACTGCTCCTACCGTTTGCTAAAATAACAAAAAAAAACAGTTGTTAAGATGCAAGCTGATAAAAACCCTTCGGGGTGGCCCAGTGGTTTGGGCTTGGGACTTCCATGTTGGAGGTCTCAAGTTCGAACCCCTTGCCAGCGAAAGCAAGGGGTTTTGCCTTTCTGGGGTCGAGCTTGTCGCACTAGGCTTGCCTAGTGCGGGTTACCTCTCCTATGTGGTTTGCGAGCTATTGCATAGGTTGGGTAGCGGCTGCGGGTTTCCCTTGTCATAAAAAGAGAAGATGCAAGCTGATAAAAACCCTTCGGGGTGGCCAAGTGGTTTGGGCTTGGGACTTCCATGTTGGAGGTCTCAAGTTCGAACCCCCTTGCCAGCGAAAGCAAGGGGTTTTGCCTTTCTGGGGTCGAGCTTGTCGCACTAGGCTTGCCTAGTGCGGGTTACCTCTCCTATGTGGTTTGCGAGCTATTGCATAGGTTGGGTAGCGGCTGCGGGTTTCCCTTGTCATAAAAAAGAAGAAGATGCAAGCTGATAAATGTAATCCTCAAATACTGGAGTGAGACAACAGAAATGGAGCATGTCAATTTCTTTGTCCCTGCAGTATTGCATGGTTTAATGCTTAAAGCTACAAATTTAAAGAAAAGGAAAAGGAACAAAAATTAGTTGATGTTTGTAAAGAGTGAGAACGGGTTAGACGTCTTTTTCTGCACTGTGATTCGTGAACTTGCGAAGAGATGATTTCTCTTCAATGCCTTTTGGACATTGCGGAGAGAGTCAAGTAGGAGCTTGTTTAATTTGGAAAGGGGAAGGGGGTTTGTTTTGTTACTTGTACAATGTATTAGCTTTTTTCCGTTTAACTTGTGGACTAGACATTATGCCTGTTATTCTCCTGGCTGTTGAACTCCTGCTATTTGAAAGAAAAGCAGAAAAGATCAATCAAAATGGTTAGTTCATTGGCAGGACAGATCTTTTCAGTACTTCTGGCTTCTTTTTGTTTCCTCTGACTTATGACCTCTGTAGCTTTTTGCAGCAATACCTGATTTTGTCTTGTGATATAAGCTAGAAACATGAATATATTTATCTGTACCTATGTGGTTCTGCATATTACAATATACATCTGTTGTCTGTATTTTTCATATCTTTTGACCAAATAATGTTTCTTCAATTTAATTTCAGGAATCTAAACGAAATAATCTCAAAGATTTCGTGAGTCTTGCTAATGGTATGATGGTCACACATTTCCTCATATTGTCAAAAACTGACTCTGCAGCGTACTTGAGGGTTGCCAAAATGAAGCACGGTCCAACTTTAACGTTTAAAATACATAAATATTCGTTGGCTGCTGACATTGTTCAATCTCAACTCCGTCCAAGATGCCCTCCGGATCTTTTCAAAAACCCACCGTTGGTAATCTTTTCTGCTGAATCTTAGATGACTACTTCACATCTCCTGACATGTAGATGCACCTATGAAAACACACTTATGTTGGCATTTTATAAAGTTGGTTGTCTTGTATTAGCATTATCTTTTTTTCTCTACCTGGTCAGCTGAGCTCCAGAATTATGCTTGCAGATTGTGCTATCTGGTTTTGGGACAGGGGAAGAACACCTAAAGCTCACTACGTTTATATTCCAAAACATTTTTCCTGCCATTGACATAAATACAGTGAGTGAGAACCATACCTAAATTTCTATTCTAGCCACAGTTTGTTTCACCAGCTGTTACTGGAAAATTGTTGCACATTGCAGGTCAAGCTGTCTTCATGCCAAAGGATTGTATTACTTAATTACGACAAAGAAACAAAGCTTATTGATTTCCGGCACTACTCTATCAGATTACAGCCAGTGGGTGTTTCTCGCCGAATCAGGAAATTTGTGCAAAACCATCAAGTGCCTGATCTAAGAAGTCTTCAAGATGTTAGTGACTTTGTAACCAAGTACGTTTCAATGTCTCTCAGTGCTGCTATGGCTTTTTTGATTGCATTCGATGCGATTATAGTTTTCCTTCATTTATATGGTTGATTTATTATCATTTTTTTCATAGTGAATTAGACCTTTCTATTTCTTATCAGCCGAGGAGCTGGTCTAGAGTTAGCATAGCTATCTGCATTTGTTATCCTTCTGGAATCAGGTTGTGTGTAACTGAGATCATTGAATTACTGCAGAGATTCTATTCTTACTTCTTCCCTATTTCCTAACCGCTACTACCTTTACAAACCCTCTTACTATTTGGATTATTAGCCAAGTGTATCCTTAGAAGAATTCTGTACCACTGTTACTGTATCAATCTAAAAAACCCTGTTCTATTCTATCTCCCACCTGCTACTCACTCCCCTCACCCTTGCACACATATCCATTTCCATTACTATTATATAAGTGATGATACTAAGCATGCAGCACATGGTCAATAGGGTTACCTGACAAGATGACCCTTTTATTATCTTAGAACATTTTCCTTTAGTTAAGGATGCCGCGGTACTAGAGAGGAAGATGTAACTGAAGTAGATGGGGGTTATATGTTTCCATTTATAGGCTATTCTGGCTTTTGCTTTGCTTAGTATGTCTTGGTAATTTTGCAAATACCATTTTCAGTCACTATGGGAAAAGAAAGCTTCTAGGGTGTGAACGATTTGACATTTTTCTTCTTTGTTATATGAAATGTAATGTCGTCCTGCTAATGTTGTTGTTCTCTTAATTTTCATTTGTCTCTCTCTGCCTTGTCAATGAAGAGCTGGTTATGGATCTGAAAGTGAAGGGGATGATGAGGCAGCAACCGTAAATCTGTCATCTGATATTGGAAGAGTTAATCGAGCTTCTACGAAAAGTGCTGTCAAACTTCAAGAGATTGGACCTAGAATGACTCTTCAACTTGTCAAGATTGAAGAGGGCCTATGTACTGGTGGACTCCTTTTCAATGAATACGGTAATTTTCTCTATAACCTCTTTTTCTTGCATGAAGCAAAAGATACTCCTTTTATTTTGCTGGTTACTTGGCTTGCCATTAGTTTATTAGCTATACCAACTACAGAAATCTTCGCGACGTTACTTCAATTTATTCTCAGTGTCATGCTTGTTGCCTTCAGGTAATGTCGATGCTAAAAAATCGGAAAATGAAGAAGAGGATGAACAAGAAAGTGATGAAGAGGAGATGGATATAGATGATGAGGAAGAGCTAGAAATTGAAGATGAAGAGGAGCAAGAAATTGAAGAAGAGGATTAATTGGCTCTTTAATTTTGTTTATTTTGTTCTTGTTTTAACTTGTATTTGCCAATATATATGGTGAGATGCTGGAAGAGGAAATAATTTCATTTTTGAATTTGCTCTCATGAGCTACTATACTATAGTAAGTAACTATACCTACTAACTCCGTTTCAATTTGTTCAATTTGTTTCTATTAGTTCGTTTTAAAAAAATACCTCCTTTTTTTGGCAACTTTTCATGTAACATGTTACCACAAGGTTAAATGCTATTTTGATGCATTGACATATTTTTAATTAAAGACCACGGAATTTAAAAAAAAAGTTGTGTTAAATTTTGTGCTGAGTAATACTCAGTAATTAATACTTTGACATTAACTTGACAAAAAGGAACTAAACTCTTCTACGGAGTTCAAATTACTTCCTCTATTTACTATTTCAAAAATAAATTTACATTTTTATTTATTACTTTTAAGTTTAAACATTTTTAAAAAATTCATGTTTTATCCTAATCGTTAATTACTTATTCTCCAAATTACTTTTGAAGATATAATATTAAACATCAATTAATAGCAGTGTAACATATAACAATGAGTTTGTTTTCGAGATGACAAATCTCATTTTTTATGAAAGATTATATCCATAAATTTATATTTTGAGAACTTGGCAATAAAAATATTTTACCATAAGTTAAAGTATTTACTTATTTTTCAAATAGCGTTTCTCTTTTATGGAGTATAATGAATGTTGAATGTGACATGATGCACGAATGGTACCAATATCCAAAGCAAAACTAATTTGTCAAACAAGAAAGTCTATGATTTACACGTACTTAATTTTGACTCCGATCCATTTTAATTGTCGTTCTTATTAAAAATAATTGATCTGAAATAAATACTTTATTGTTTTAGAAAATCAAATATAATTAATTATTAATTTTCACCTTTACCTTTACTTAATAAACATATGAAGAAAAAAAAATTAAAATCACATAATTTTTTTTATCAAATTACCTTTTTAACGTAGTTAATATATTCTTAATGACGTATAAATAAGAAACTATTTTCTTAAAGACGTGTAAATGAAAAATATGACACGTAAAATTCTCAACAATAAGTTGAACATTTCATTTTCAAGTAAACCATCTCAAACACGTAATTTGACTGCTTTTCTTTGTCCACCCATAAAAGAAGAATCCAAAAAAAAAAAGAACTTCTAGAAGATGTTTTAAATAGTTTATCTTAAAGCACATGTATTTATAGTGAAGAAGAATTATTCAAAAGTAAACGGTACTAAAAAAACATCTTTAAATAGTTTATCTCAGGAATATACTGTAAAGTGGCAATAATTTATTTATTTTTCTTAATTAATATTAGAAGTCTCTTTTTTTATTAACGGTTTAGCTTTATCAAAAATCATATTCTTCTTATTAATGGTTTAGCTTGTTGTGATTTTAAGCTATTGACTAGAGCCTAGATGAATAGTGTACGAAGAATCGATAAGTAATTTCACTAATAATTGGTCGATTTAATTATTGGAACAACTCATTGAACTATTTAAGACCGCTAATGAATATAGATCGAACCTATACAATGTTTTTTCAAACTCTTAAGTCTTTAAATATTGAAATTCTGTATCTAAAGAGGATGAAGGAGAAACACACCATTTTCTCACTTGCACATTTAATTTAGGTACTTGACCTAAAAAGCAATTCCATTTGTTCACATTAAACCAAACAAAACAGTAGAATAAAAGGCACTAGGTATTCTTCTCATCTGTCCTAGTCGTGGTCGTGGTGGACAGAGTTATGTAATATCTGTTATTGGTGGGAGGTGACAGTGAAATTAGTCGAGGTACGCAAAAGCCAGACCGAATATCGGTCATAAAAAGAAAATGTCCCAGGGTGGGGTTGGGGATGGAATTCCAACTATCCTCATTTGTCATAGGCACTAATGACTTTTACCAGAATGACACTTAGATTTGACCTTATACCAAACAAAACATTGCAGCTGGAATGAAGCATGTGGATTCGTTAGAAAAAAACATAGGGTTAGGCAAGGTAGGACTATAGACCTTTGACGATTCGGTATCGAAAACTCACTGGTCCAACTAATCTAGATTCACACTGCAACAAGAACCACTAAAGGGATGAACACTTCCTACCAAGAATCTCTCTACCCACAGAGCTCGAACTCAAGATTTTTCTCTATTAGAATTTAAACTCAAAACCTTTGGTCCCATACATCTCATAGGACTTCTTAATAGTTGGGACTTAAGTCAATTGCATGTTAAAAAAACCATGAAGAAACTTCATGATGTACACTTGCAGACTAACTGGGAAATGGATATTAAACCTGTTTCACCACCATGGTGCCCTCAAAAGAGCTTGCGTGATATTCTTAAAACGCGATTATCAATCATGAGCTTGTTCCTATCGCATGAATCATGATCAATGGTATAAATAAGAGCTGAGTTTAAAACATAATTGCATAAAGTTAATACTGTGTTTAGCACTTACAACCATCAAAACATCAACTAAATCACAAAGAAACTACAATACCTGTATATATAAAGGACAGAAAGTTGATCACTTATCTAAACATATACAACCTATCAAGCCTTCATGTAGGAAATAAGACAGTTTAATACTAGTGTACTAGTTCAGAGGTACCATGTAGATATATCCTGCTTTGTCAGCTGTTCCATGGCGTAGTCGCTTCCTCCCAAGTTGAACGGGGAACCAAATCTGTAGTCAGTAATATCATTTATGTTTCCACCGAAGGGGGCGTCAAAGGACATTTTGCATTGATCATATTGAAACTCTGTCGAACGATAAGCAGGCATGCTGGTTTCTTGAGCTGAGGTCTCCATATGTCCCAGGTTGAAGTTGCCATCCATAGGAAGTTCAACTGTTTGTTGCTGCTGCAGGTTTTGATTTACTAGAATCTCAGAAATTCCGGAACAGATGCTACCATTTTGCTGAAAGTTGTTGTCGTATGATGTTATGAGGTCAGAAATAATCCTCTGGTCATCTTCAGGAAGTCCAAGCCCAGAGGCACTCATCGAAGAGGAAGCAGTGACTGACGAGACCGCTGGCTTAGAAGGAGCAGTTTGTGCAGGAAAAACTGTGTTGTGCTCATAGTTGATCTGATACTTAGGTGTACTAAGTGTTTGAGCAGAATTGAACCGGAATGGACAACTCATTTGGTGGTTATTTCTTGAAGTCCTGTCAAGGAATCCAGCTTGATAATTGCTGTATGGGCAGTGAAGGTACTCACAAGTATATATCTTTTGATCAACAGACTCCTCAAAACATGGTTGCTTCCTCTTTTGGATAAAATCACAAGTTAAATCGATAATTTCTCCTTTCACTGGAGCTAAACCTGGCATCAAGATCCTATCTTTAGGTAACATAATTCCAGTTTGGAGATTGATGTCATGGGGTTTACATTCCACTTCATTGTTTCTCTCGTCATCCACTCCTTCCACATCGTAATCGCTAGCATCGCTGATGAAAAAGGAACCATTACCAATAGCTAAAGATCCATGTGGATAGCTATCAGGATACAGCTTACGAGCCAAAGCCTCTTCTTGATTGATAATAGCAAGCCAAGTTGCACTCTCCTTAGCTGTCATCTTATCCTGCAAGCACTTTGACTGACGAACAAGCTTGCGAATCTTAGCAATGTCGGGAGAGATGTGTTTGATTACCGCCGTTAGAACACCAACCTTCCAGGCCTTCTTCAGATCATGAGGCTTCTTGTATGGAGGTTGAACTTGATCATTTGGCAGACCCAACTGACCCCACCAGTCCTCTTTACCAGAGGGCCACCAGGGTGGAGATACCCCTTTCTCCAACGGAAACCGCCTCTGTGGAGGATCACAGTGCTGCATCAAAGCAGACAAAAGGGATCCTAGAGTTGTATCCTGCAGCTCCTGTAAAGTGTGGGGAGTGGAAACTATCACACTCGATTCCTCAACCCTCCCGGGAATCTGGTTATCAGCCTGATACTTAGCGATGGCAGCAGGGCCATTTCGATCAAATCTGACCTTTTCCTTCCACCAAGCACGAAGATTGTCTGAAGCACCAGTCACAGGCTTCCCTTTCTCAGGGATAATTCCATAAACAAAACCCTGAGCATTACAAACTTCCATCATTTTCAGCATGTACTTCAGTATACCATCTTGTGCACGCGACATCTTCTTTCTACGAGCCTGCTCCTGCGACTGACGCTGCTTCACACCATCCCCCACCTCTTTATTCTTGTTCTTCTCTTTGAGACGCCTCAAAAGCATTCGATCCCTCCACATCCTCCTCTCTAGCTCATCCACATCCATCTCCTCATCACTATAGTCTTCCTCCTCCAACCCAACCGGCTTATCCTCAACTTCTTGAGCCACATCTCCTCCACATCCCATAGAATCAGATAGAAACTCAAAATTTCCAGAGAACCCCATATCTTCAAATATCCCCATTTAGCAAATTCTGCAACACCAATTCAGATACAACAAAAAACTCAACTTTTAGTAAAATCAATTCCAATTCAATCCAAAATCAATGATCTTTAATCTAACTTGATCAAACAAAACACTCCAAATTCCTCAAAACCAGATAATCTTTCTACAGAAACAAATCATAAAAAATTACTCCCACATCATCATATAAATATAACTCCATGGAGAAAAAAACACAAACAAACATAAATATAACAACCCCATAAAACAGAATTTCATCATTTTTTCTACTGATTACTATTAAAAATTCCATCTTTACTTTTCTTTCTTTGTAAAAAAAAACACCCTTTTAATTTCCACATACACTCTGATCTACCTACCCCTTCAAGAATCATATTTCACAAGAATTCACAACAAACCAACACTCAAAAAACTAAAACAAATTAAAAAAAATATAAAAAATTCAAGAAAATGGCTTACATGATTTTCTTGAAAACAGCTTGTTGAAGCTATTATCTATGGCTATACTAATCTAATTTTGAACAAAAAAAAAAAAGGAAAAGAGAGAAGGGGTTTGAGAAGAATGTTAGGTGTATTGAAGTGATGTTTGTGTATTGGAAAGTTAGAAAGAAATATGAAGAAGAGAGGAAGGTGCAAAGACATTAAAGTAAAAACAAAGTGGAAAATGCAAATGAAATACTTTATTACTAAAAGGATAAGTTACA